GTTGAAAAAACATTCCATAAAAACAAAATCCTTCATATTTATAAATTATCATTCCAGTGTTTGTCCAATTCTAAAATTTCCACTTTTATTTGATAAGTTCCTGTCTAAATATGAGTTTTCCCTTCCAACTACATCTATTTGTTCAAGATGGAATGAAAGTCTGGACGAGTTTATGAAATGTTTTAATTAAACTTTCATTCTACTACAACAAATATCTTCTAATTTAGATTGGATTAACCTATTTATGACTGAAAATTCTTACTTAGAATGACAATCAATTAAAATATTTCATGAACTCATCCAGACGTTCATTCCGTCTCTAGCACGCAGTTCAAATAAGAAGGAATACCCCATTCTTGGAAGGAAAGTTCTCAAGTAAGACGGAAAATTTTAAAATTGGAATGACATTTTTTAAGATGGAATGAAAATTTGAAATTTCAAATGTAATTTTACTATAGAATGAATATTTAATTCTGGGAACTTTTTGTGTTGTATGTCAGTCTCAATCAAACTTTAACGGATGCCCCGAAGGACTCGACCTTGGCGGCGACCCTAAGGTATCATCATTGAACTGCCCAACCCTTAGGAAATCCAGAATTGTAATATTTTACCTTCTGCTTCCAGTGAAGTTCACACTTTGGTTTGTATTACAACAGTTCAGGGGTGTACAAACTACACTGAGCCAATTGAACCAAGCAGCAATCCCATAACTGGCTGCGATACTAGCCTGGCCCCAAAAGTGAGACTTTAAAATTAATAAAATATCAAAAGTTAATAACTAAAGGAGGGAAAGGAGTTGGGACAACAGAGAACTGAGAGAGGCATTCAACAGAAAAATTATCACCTAATTCAAACAAATTTTCATTTTCATGTCTAACTTATTAAGGCCACAAGGGCTGTGACCAACTATTGACAACGGACCTTCAATTGTGTGTTCAACTAGTTCTCGACATTACCAATTTTTTCTTAACGAGTCCAATTGTGGAGCTTCACGATGCTTGGGTGGACAACATGATTCTTAGCGGAGGTCCTCATGAGGCGAGGCCGGCGTCCACAGCCCCAGTTGGGGTACAACAGCAGGGCGATGACGTCATTGATATGGATGGCGAGGGAGAGTGTGGCTGGGAGAACGCGGGTACATACTCGCAACGACCAAGCAAGCTGCCCGTCGGTGAGGGTGATTCGAATTTAGGGAAGAGGAAGGATATGGACGATACCATGATGCAGCAGGGGAAGAAGATGAGGCAGTCAGCGATAAAAGAGGTGTTCGGGTCTACTGGGCTGCCAAACACAGGAAGTTGTGGTTGCGCTTCGTGTACAACAACCAACTAGCCTTCAACATATTTCGGAGCCTCACATGCAAGGCGTACACACTTCAGGGACAAACCACCTTCAGTGTCCGTGATTTGGCCTTTCGAGAACGAAGTCGCAGCAATGGATACGGTGGTTGAGACGACAATCAACGTTGTTGCCGGTCTTAAGGACATACAAGAGTCATTTAACCACACAGAGGCCAAGATCCTGTCCAATGTCAGGAAGTCTCGCGATGGGAGAGCCATTGTCAACTTCCTAGCAGCTCGTGCTCGAGGATTGATGATGTGGAGCACTCTCAATAGGGAGGGCGAGTCTGATGATTCGCTTGCAGTGTTGGGGAGGTGGATATTAGTCTTCCACGACTTCGGTCCAGATAGGGTCAACGCAATTTGCACAGACTTTATGTCAGTCTATGTAAAGGCAGGCAACGCTTTCAAGTTGGCCGATCCACATATGCGGCCTGAGTACGATATCACATGGCTCCCTTGCGAGGCGCACGTGTGCAATAAGTTGTTGTCAGACATTGGGACAGCGGGTCCATGGTGCGTAGATATTATTGTGCGGGTGAGAGCAGTGGTGCATTTCATAAAAATGCACGACCCAGCGCATTTCCTGTTCAGGAGAGAGAGTTGCCATCTCGGGTTGTTGTACTCGTGCGAAACTCGATTCGCATCTGTCTACGCAATGATAGAGCGGTTGGATGTTGTTCGGTGTCCTTTGGAACGGGTGGTGGATGAGATTGACTGCTGCACGGAGCCTTGGACGACTACATCAATCAGGCAACGTGCGCGCTGGGTGCGGTGGCAGATCCGACACGACAACTGGTGGGACTCCGTGAGGTCTTGTGTGTCTTTATGGAGGCGGTTTATGATCTGCTGCGCAAGATGGATCGCGGAGGGCAGTGAATGTCGAGAGTGGTTTACTGGGCGGGGTGGTTGGCAGAGGACGTGGAGGCGGCCGTTGCTCCTCTCGAGGATGGATTGGCGGACCAGATTTTCAAGCGCATGCAGGACTGCGTTGCTCATATGTGTGACCTTGCGCACAATGCGGCGTACCTCCTCTGCCCGATGAGAAGGTCGATGCAGTATTACAGCGGCGTGGTGAAGGATGAGGACGCACGGCTTGTGAAGGAGTCAGAGCGGTACATGCTATCGCAGACTGGGTTTAACCTACGAATCTCCCTCAGAGGCAGCTGTGGGCGGCCAAGTCTACGACCACGCGGCCGCGCGACTTTGCGGCCGCATGGCGGCCAGTGGGGAGGGGGGGCAGGGGTTAGGGAAGTGGCATGGGG